GGCATAAAGTCCCTCCAATTTTGGATGAAACTGAACAAAAAGCTGTCGGGGAAGATAGCACCACCAGATTTTTATGTAGAACTCACTATAAAATCAGTAATATTTTTAAGACTGAATTTTACACAAAATAATATCTCTGTGCTTATTTTAATAAGAAAATAATATCTTACTGACTTTGCACCAATGTGAAGGGGCTAGAGAAGTTTGTTTAATCAGTCTGTATATATTTATTGAAAGCCTAAAATGTGCCATTCTACAATAGTGGATTAAATGCATATAAACCCTGTCCCATGGAGCCAGCTGTGCAGGAAGTGAAATAGATATTTAAAGCACACAGATACATATATATGACTACTACAAATTGTGTTAAGAACGATAAAGGAAAAGAACAGAAAATAAAGGGGAGGAGAGCAATACAATTTAAATTGGCAAGTCAAGGACATGACATTTAAGCCAGTACTTGGTATAAGGACGTCGGTGAGGAGAGTGTTTTCCAGGAAGGCAGAATGCGTGATGCTCCAAACCAATTAATATGCCTTACAATTTAAGGATAATACTTATTATTAAACTTTAACAGCAATCTAAAATGTATTTTTTAGGTTTAAAATCCATTCTTATCAATATATCAAGTGCAATTTTAGAACAAATACTAATTACTATAAATACAAAAGTTTTACTTGATATAATAAAACTAAAAGAATTCCATTCATCACATAGACAAATTCCAAGTAATAAATTAAGATGATATATGAATAGATTAGCAAATTAACCACTCTTAGAAGAATTTTTTAAGTAGATAACTTTGCTTCTGCACTGACATGTGAGACACATAAATACACCAGTTTTCTTTATTTTGGCAGATGAGATTTCACTTTTTTTTTTTTTACTGATTTTCTTTTAATTACTCTACCATAATTTTATGTGCCTTCTAAGTTTAAAAAAGAGAAACTTTACAATTATGGGAGCAAAGTTCCAGTTCACATAGGAAGGGTTTGTGTTTCCATTACCTTTTCTGGGTTCAGTTCCACAGAGCTCAATTTACAGATAAAATGGGAGGGGTCTGCCCGCTCACTTATTGCTCTCATCTTTTCATCAGGCATGTCTTATCACTACACAGCACTACCACGGCCTCGTCAGCGCCTTCTCTCACAATCTTTCTGGTGCCATCTTGCTCCTTCCTTCCTGCATCCTGACCCCAGTTTCCCTGTTTCTTGCATTCCTAAATCCTTTCCCTTCTATGTATCTATTTGCCTTGGACTGCTCCTGTGTTCATAATCTGTCATTAGTTTAGGAGCCAAAGAATACATGATCTTCCAAGTCGTCAATGAAAAGAAGCAACTATACTTTCTGCCCTTTTTTCTAGCCAAGACACCTGAAATTACAAATAGAACACACCGAATTCATTCCAGGAGTCCTATATATTCATCTGCCCAGTTTCCCCCTTTTCTGATGGGTTTACACACCAGGAGATCAGTAAGAATGTCATGAGAAAACAAAGATGATGGATATAATAGAATTGCAAGTTACAATCTGCTTAAGTATCTGATCATTCAGTTGTTAAATGATTTGAGGGTTTTTTTTTTTTAATCTGCCTAAATCTGTTACTGCCAGGTAATAGCCCTAGTGGTCTTGAGGTTAAGATTCCGTGCTCTCATCACTGTGGCCCAAGTTCGTTTCCAGTCAGGGAACCACACCACCCGTCTGTGAAGTGTCACACTGTGGTGGCTGCATGTTGCCGTGATGCTGAAAGCTCTGCCACTAGTATTTCCAATACCAGCAGAGTCCCCTATGGTGGACAGGTTTCAGCAGAGCTTCCAGACTAAGGCAGACCAGGAAGAAACTTAAATACCAAAACTTTCTTCTAAGGACTCTCAAATAAAATTGTAAAGGAATGAATTTAAGACCAGAATCTAAGGGCCAGTGTTACTGTTCCTGCTTCATTCTGGGTGTGAATTCATGTAAAAATGTAGAGATGAAACTACTCTGAATAGCCACAGTAATTCATTGAATCCTCACAACAACCCGAAAAAGTAGGTATTTCTGTCAACCCATTTTACAGACGAGGAAACTGCAGAAAGAAATGAAGTAATTTGTCCAAGGTCACTCAACTAGCAAGTGGCAGAACCAAGAGTTTAACTTGGGCAGCCCTGCTCCAGACCCCTAACCTCTCAGCGGAACCATACTGCTTTTCTAGAATCTGCTGCTTCTCCTATATGACTGATGGGAAATCTTTGCCTCCAGAAAAGGCTGAATCATAAGAAGTCAGGTAGCCATGCTGGAAGTCTAAAGACACCAGCATCATTGCCATGGGTGTGCCAGTACGCCCTGCCTCTTCCACGAGCGTTATCTGGAATGAGAAGAGCTTGGAGTCACAGCCCTTCTCAGCCCACCGAGGAGAAGGTCCCTCAGACGAGTCCCCAATCTCTTAGCAGCCTTAGAAAACACTTAGAAAAGTTGTTTTATAAGTGAAAGTGCCTTAGAAACTGTAAAACAGCACGAGGCACACTTACATTCAGGAGTCTCTCATTTACCCCTCTCTCTTCTCATTTTCACCCCCACGGCCAGCTAGTCTCTACAAGTTCTGAGCACTCTCTGAGTGAACCATGACAGGAACATCCCAGCTGGCCTCTGGGACTTGCCCCTCTTGTCCTGACAGCCTTCCTGCACAGCGTTGCCACATTAACTTTCCTCAAAAGCATTTTCTTCACAATGCCCCTTGGCTCAAAGTTTTCCATGATAACTCATTTCTTACCTGAAAGTGGAGACAACTTGAGAGACTACAGTTAAAATGGTGAGAAGTTAGTATCGATGACTCCTTTTCTGAATTCAGCTCTAAAATGCTCCCTGTTACTACATTCCAAAATCACTTTTTCTTTTATACCTTTTCTTTTCTAGAACACATTATACCTACTCTGCTCTGTAAGTCTGGCCTATAGTCTAAAGGAAAACAACACTGACCCGTTTATCACCACACAGCATCGAAATTCCTCCCAAATTCCCATGTATGTTTACAACCCACATCTCCTCACTGGGAGCCTCTGCCTGCACTTTCGAAACCTTTATCTGGGCCCTTCCCCTGAGCAGAGCTTTCTCTCCCTTTAGATCCGGCTTAGCTCAAATCTACCTCCTACACAAAACCTTTCTAACTACACAGCCCCCGCTGACTTCCTTCTCCTCCACACTCACAGAGCATGATGGGTGTAAATGCTTCATTGGCAATTCCCTTTCTGCTAACAACTTTGAGCATCTTCTAAAATGTTTATTGGCTAATATATTTGATCTTCTGTAAACCGTCCCTTCCCCTCCTTTGCTCATTTTTCTACTAGGCTGTTAGTCTTTTTCTTTTCAATATGACAGTACTTTTGCATATTCTAGATGTTAAAATGTTCCCATCATATGCATTACAGATATTTTTCCAAATATTTGAAGACCACTGCTCTTCTTTTTATATTTGAAAACTATTCTCAGATGCATCCTTCTCCATATAAACTCTAACTTATTTATTTAAATATTTAATTTTCTTCAAATGTTTTAAAAGCCTGTTTGTATTCTAGTGGAATCACATGGAATTTTTAAAATTAATTTTGGAACAATCAATATTTCTATGAGATTGAGTATTAAGACTCCTGCGTCAAAAGCAGAGAAGCATTTGTTCAGATATTAGTTTATGTTCTTCAGTTAGATTTTATAGTTTTCCTCGTTTACATGCCTCCATTTTGAAATACAATTCAATTAAGACGTTTGCAACTTGAGAAGTGGGTATTTTCAAAGTTGAAACCCTATAAACCTATAAAAATTACTGTTTGATATCATTATTGTTGACTTTGCGAATGTTATCTTTTTCCTTTGAAAGAGTTCTTAATTTTTATATAGTCAAGTATGTCAAACACTTCTTTTATAGTTTCTGGATCTCCGGTTTTGTTTAAGAACAACTGTTATTCCTATGTGGTATATACAGTCTCCTGGATTTTCTTTTAAGATTTTTAAATTATTTTATTGTTTACATTCACATCTTTAATCCATCTGGAATTCATTTTGTATATGGTTTAAGATTCAGGTCCAATTTTATTTTTACCCTGATGGATGGCCAGTTATGTCAGCACCATTTATTAACTAATCCAACTTTCTCCCACTGACTTGACCCAACACTTTTATCATATATTAAATTCTTATACATATTGGAATCTATTTCAGGATTCCCTATGCTATCCTTCTGATTACTTTATCTCTTACTGTACCAATCCCATATTGGTTTAATTTCAGTGGTTTTATATTATGTTTTGGTAACTCATAACTTAAGTTCTCTTTCACTGGTCTTCACTTTCATACTTTTAAAGGCTATTCTCAAGTATTTCCTTTCCATCCAAACTCTAAGATCCTTTATTCATACTTAAAAAAAAACTCTGTTGGATTCTAATTGAAGTTGCATGACATTTATATATTAATTTTGGGAGAACTGAAATTTCTATTTATTGAGACTTTCAGCCAAAAACACGGCATGTCTTTACACTTTTCCAGATCTTGTTTTATGGTTCTTCATTAAGATTTCAAAGTTTTCTTCATTTACATCATCTCTTTTTTATTTAGTGATTAAAATAAAACATTTAAAAGGTGAGAAAATTGATATTTTTATTACCAAGTTAAAAACTGTGTACATGTGTGTGCATAGATAGAAATCTAATTATTCATCTAACCTAATTGATATGATTATTGCTGAATTCTAGAAATCTTAGGAAATGTGACAACATGGCTACACTCAATGAAAACGGTTAGGATTTGAGCCAAGAAAAAAGAAATTGTTTTATACTTAAAACAGTTGGACTTATTTTATCCCTTACTGAAATTTATAATTATTGCAGTCCCATCTGAAATGGTTTCAGATACATTATCTTTGCATATTCTTGCAATTAAAGATATTATCTAAAATGAAATATTTTCCAGTGCTGATAGAAACAAAATCTCTGAATAAAATCATTGTAGAGTCCTCACTAGATTCTTACTTGACTAGAAAGTTTAGAAGCTTCCATAGCATGTTCAAAATCTGGTCTTCCAATCACAGCAGGCTCCTTATTCATGACTCCTTGCCCTTTCTTGTAGTCTGCCTAAAATGAATAAATAAGAGAAGGTTAAATATTTCTACTTTCCAATGAAGAATTACATTGACATTAGCCAAAAATAAAATATAATAGACTCTCAGTCCATAAAAAATAATCCTTACAATTCATCATGTACTGAAATGCTGACTGTTAAAGCAGGAATTGATTTTATAGAGCGGTTATTTAAATAAATTCAACTTTTTTGTAATAAAATAACTACTAAGTTTGAGTCTACATATCCAGTCATCATCACTATTATGCTTACATATAAACACAATACATAAAAAAAAAGTTAGGAGAAATTTCTGGATAATTGAGACCCTGCATTCTACAGACAGATGGATTTTATGGCTTTGTTTAATCTCAGGAACTGAACTAACTCTCTTTGGTTAGCATGCAGTTTAATTTGGTAAACAGTTATTGATTTTTAAAGTGAGTGTAGCCTATGTCATTCTAACATTTGGTTTAAGTCATCATCTTTAACCAGAGTTTTAGGCATGTTTAAGTGAAATGGCGTTCATCAAGGAGGATGCCTTAGAGAAGATAAGAAACAGTCATGATGTGAGGAAATGTACAAGGGTAAACGTTGGCAGAAGAGAATCTGCACAATTAACAGCAACAAGATGGGAACAAGGCCCAGTGAAGTTCTTTGGGACAGGGTAAGGTGAGAGAGAATACGGGACCAAGATGACTAACAACCTTGACTTTCAGGTTGAGACATTTGAATGTTATACCCAAACAGTACTTATTTCTCTAAAAGTATAACACTAGCCATAGTCAAGTTGAGTTTGGGCATATCCCTGAATAGTTTACATAACCAAATGAATAATCCAGATAAAATAACTGAGATGTCATTAATTCAGATTGAATAATTTCACTAATTGAATTAACTATCCAACTACCAAAGCCAGGCTTTGTCTTCTGCAAAAAGAGGAAATCATTTCTGCTCAAGATAGGAAAGAGGGATTACATTGCTTATGATCTTGGAGATCTGCATCGCCATCTTGATGTCTGGTCTGTCGAGCTCCGCACTATACATGTGGCTGTCCTGCACATCTTTTCTATAAGAAATCTGATCAAAGAGACCGTTTTGATTGACAAAAAGGAAAAGAAGAAATTAGTAATTTCATATAACTACTAGCATTACTCATCCTTGCCATAATCATGTAGAGAGCCCACTAACCATACTTTTTTTCATGTGCAACACTTATTTGGATAAATATATTCTCTTTTTACTATACCTATGCCTCATGAACAATATGGCATATAAAGTGAATTTATACAACATAAGAAATATGAGACCAAGATCTCAGCAAAAAAACAATCTTAAAGGATTTTACATACATCACCCTCACAAGCATGTTGTTGTGTGTAAGTAGATATGTGTATATATGCATACAGAATATCCTCATCAGGGGCTTTAACTTGCCCATTGCACAGTCTCTATCCCCAGTGGATATAGGATAAGCCCCAGCACACAAATAGAGAAAAGCACTTCCGGGGGTGAGGGTGTTTGAGCTGAGAAACTCTCCAGCTATCACCCTCCCTACCACACCCTTCTCTCCCTTTACTGACCCATGTCTGGGCGGCCTAGTCGTGGGTACTGAGAATTTTATTATCTAGTAAATATCATTGCAACAACTTGATCCTCCAAAAATAAAAGCAATTATATTAAGGAATAATCTTCCTCTGAATGTATATTAGACACAATGAAACCAAAGTATGGAAAATAGAGATATAAAGAGGAGAAGAAAAAATAGAGAGAGAGATATATAATTGGGGTCCATCCCCAACCCTCAAGAATCTGCATTTTACTGAACTCCCCAGTTGACCGCTAAGAATAAGTCTTCTAGATAATAGCAATCGTATCTTGTTATTTTCCTTTCAACTTTGCAGCATTAAAAAACATTTGTACTTTCTTACTTTCAAAAATAATATCAAGTGCAAGAAATGACGATGCTTCAATAGGCTCCCTATGGGTTATATTACTTTATTTCAATGAAACATTTATATACATTTCTATTTACTCTTTTAAGAGCTTGCATTTGCCTCACCACCAAGACTATTTTTAAAACTATGTTTGTAATCATGGATCTGTCTGACAAGTGAACGCAGCTTAAATACAATTAGTATCATTTCAGCAAGAACATCTGTTTTCTTCAATATATCTATTTTCATAGATTATTTCATAAATTACCTTAACAAGTAATGTCAGGCAGGTTTTGTGCATATAGGTAGCAAAAAAACCGCATAAAAATAAGATGAAAATTCATTACTTTGTTGGGTGAATTTAAAATCTTTAAGGATTTAAAATAAGCCAATTTCATTGGTTTCAAAAAGCAACACACTCATCCACAAATGATGGCCAGTCAACCTCAGCCTACACTGTTAAACACAAGCTGTGTAAACAAAAACCAACTCTCAGGTGACAACAAACCCAAATTATTACCCACCTACACAACTGTTTCTAAGTTACTACATTGATATGAAAACCATAGGGGGGAAATGTCTTTTTGTTTAGAAAAGAATGAGGGTAAAAATGGAAACCTTCACTTTCTGAAAAGAGCTGCAACCTTTCAGAAATCTAAGCTGTACACGGGTTACCTAATTATATGCTGTTCAGCCTAATGACTGCATGAAGAGAGGTGAACAGCACAAAGGCGGCAGGAGCAGGGCTCTGAATAGGGCCCCATCATCCATGTAAATTGCAAATTAGAGGCCAGCATAAGTGACTCAAAACAAATATTAAGATCGACATGAGCTGTAAATTCAAACAAGCGGACACCACAGAGCCACATGGGAGAAAAGCACCGGGAGCCTGGTCACTAGTCGGACCTTCCAGAACATTACTGCTTGGGTATATTCTGCAGGAACAGGGGGCTTACGCTGAGGGACACCGAGAGCAGCAAGCTCCTATCTTTCACTCTCTGCAAGGCTGTCTGATCGTAGGTGGAACAGTAACATGAGTGCCCGAGTGGACTATTCATCTTCCTCCACCTTGCCTGTCACTTGGGTCTGAGGGCAGCTCAGCTGACATTTCTCAGATGTCTGCCATAGGTATTTGCTCCATTCTGCAGTGGGTCGGAAGCAAGGAGGAATAAAAATGTTACTCAGCAGAAGAAAGGTTTGTCAGCGGAAGGTCAAAGAATATATGTACGTATATTTTTCTATTTCCTGAATAAATTCAAACCCTAAGTGCTAAGTGTATTGGAACAGTGGACTGGCCTCCATTCTTCAGACAGTCTTCTCAGGAGGATAAGGTGTTCTATATAATATTGTTTTGAGTAAGAAGAGAGAAAGGAGATTCCTGAGAATCAGCAACCCAGGACGGGTGCGAGCCTGAGGGTCACTGATTGATTTTACCACATTTTATTTAACGTTTTGTTCCCAACTGTTTCCTCAGAGCACAGCAGAGAATGAAGAAGGAGGGGTAGGAAGGAAGAATAAAGAATAAAAGAGGAGAAGGAAGAGGAAGAAGAAAGACGAGAAGAAAAAGGAGGAGGAGGAGAAGATAAAGATAATAATAATAATAATAATTAATAATAATAGCCTCCATTTTAGACCATTTGTTATGTAGTACCAGGTACTTAACACCCACAGCCTCACTCCTACATTTCTTAAATGTGTAACTACAAGGATCTATATCCAATAAACCAAGTTCCCCTTACAACTCTCCTACTTCAAATTTTTTCTTAATTTTTAAATATTTATTCCCACTAATGAACATCACAATAATTCTACTAAAGTTCCACAAAGGAAACAAATAGAATTTTAATAGGCAGTGCACTAAAGCCACAACACGATTTAGGGGGAAATGATATTGCAACGAAATTCCAGTCTGTTCCAGGCGAAGAAGGTATTATTTCTCCATTTCTTTAAATCTTTTATTCTACCTTTCAACGAAGTTTCGTCATTTTCTTCTATAGGTGCTGCACAGGGCAATATAATAATTATAACTTCTATACATTTGTCTTGTACCCAAGACAAACTGCTTTATCTTTTTAACGGTATAAAACAGTACATAAACTTATCTGCAAAGAATGATTGTGGTTTCTTTCTCAGGAACACCCAGAATCATTACTTTACAGGCTTGATCTCTTCCTCCTGTCTTTTTTTCACTGAATTTACTTCCTTGCCCTTTTCTGCATATCTGGGTCATTTTCCTAAATTATTCCTTTGCAGTGGACATGCATTCATCTTTTTTTTATCTGCCTAGCGTTTTTTATCTGGAAACTGCCCCTCCCTCACTCCATGTGACTTGGTGGGGCTATCAAATGCAGCCTACCTTCCTGGTGACAGGAGTGGACACGTGACAGGCTGCCCAATCAGATACCCCATCCCTTTGGAAACCATGATTAACAAGCGGGCAGACACCTAACCCAAGCAGGGCCGAGTCATCTGAAGGATCTGAGGCTGGGGGAGAAAAAGCGCTGTCCTTTCCTCTGGATCAGCTACTATGAGGATGATTTAATTTTGGAAACACCAGCTGTCATCTTGAGACCACCTAGACAGGGTCTGTCTGCAAGTGAAGCCAAGAGACGGGGAGAGAGGAAGCGTCTTGGTGTGGAGCCTCTGGATCCAGTTATGCCTGAGGTGGCTTGAACTTTCCAAGTACGGAAACCAACAAATTCTCATAGTTTACTTGAGCTAACTTGAGATGGATTTCTGTCACTAAATCTAGAAATTCCTGACTAACACATTCTCCATCTCACATGGTTTTCTGCAGTGTCAAATCTGTTCTTTGTGGCCTCCAATAAAGTTTTAATTCTATCACAATCTGTCGTTGAATTTCTTCTTTATCTCACCCTGTTCAACATTCCCCCTCAGCTTGTATTTTCATCTCATTTTATTATCTTTTAATCTCAGCTTTTTCTCCTCTTATAACCTTTCCCCTTCTGTTTCACAAGGCCATGTCTTCTGCAGGTTTTTTACATTCGTGCCGTGTCCAGTGTGTCGGGCACTGTTCTGAACACCTTACCTGCATTAATTTATTCAATCCGCGCCCCACCCCTGTTGGGCTGGAGTGTTGTAATCAACTGGGCTCCATCAACACTCCTTCCCAAGGCTAGAACTTATCCAGAATCCCCTTGTTTGTATTGTTCTGGGTTAGATTTGGCCAATAAGAGATGCTTATTAGATTTTGAAAATGATAGTGAAATGGACACCTTTCTTCTTCATGTACAGCCAGACACGTACATGTCAGACAAGAGATTCCCCGGGATTCTGTGGCAAGCTTCTCATATTCAGACAACAGTGATTTAAGACTCCTCAATAGTTGAGTTAATAAACTGGAGAAAAGCAAAACCTCCACCAAGACTGTCCTTACACTGAAATTCAAGCTCTTAGAGCTGCGAAGACTGAGAGCTGAGGGATGGCAGCCAGGAGGGAAGCCACAGACGGACACCTGCAGGGGCAACGTCAGCAGACAGACTTCAAGAAGTCAAATGCAACTGGCCCAGAACCATTCATTCTCTTTGCTACTCTGGTGAAAGTTAACATGATTGCTGGTGAGAAGAAACTAGATGGGATAGACATCTTTTAAGTCTGTGGAGCAAAAGTGGGCAGCGTAACCTGTATTTAGTTAGAATCTGGAAACACCAGTTCAGTCATTCTCAAGAAATCCTTTTGTCATTACCATACATTCTCACATTACAGAAGCCCTCCCAGTATCATCAAACAGGCAGATGGACTGGAAATTCTATCTTAGTGAGGTTTATTTCTGTCTGGGCATGGTTTATGTAAAAAAATCTACCACATTATTAAACTGTAATATTTTTATAAGAGAATGTAAACCTTTTAAATATAAGTAAATGCAGGATCTGACATTCATCAGAAGATAGAAAAGTTTTCAGTCTTCTAAAAGATGGAGTAAAACATGGAGTTGTGTCTAGAACAGTTGATCATTATCATTATTGACATTGTTTATAAACCATTTTATAGTTGATAAAAGTTTTCTTATTCATGATTTAATTTTATCACCACCACAATCTTGTGAAGAAGGCAGAATAAGTATTACTAACGATTCTGTTTTAGAAATGAACAAAAGACTATATCGGGGCTGGCCCATGGCCGAGTGGTTAAGTTCACATTCTCTGCTTTTGCAGCCAGGATTCACCAGTTTGGATCCTGGGCATGGACCTACACACGGCTAATCAGGTCATGCTGTGGCAGCATGACACACAGAAGAACCAGAATGACCTACAACTAGAATATACAACTGTGTACTGGGGCTTTGAGGGAAGAAAAAAAGAGGAAGATTGGCAACAGATGTTAGCTCAGGGCCAATCTTCCCCACCAAAAGAAAAAATAATGAATATATCAAATTTAAAGCTAAATCCTAAAGTGCTATTATTGTAAGTCACATCGGGGAACCACATAGAGTCATAAATGCTTTTCCAGTATCATTTTACTGATTTATTTTTAAGCTTTTTCACTTGCTCATGAAATAGAAATTCTGTTTATTGATACATTTTTATTAATGTCAAAAAAGTACATATATCTTTTTTGAAAAGAACATTAAGTCTCCGGTTTCCCCTGCTGAATACACCTTTCTAATACACATTGAATTGATTACCAATATGGCATTTTGGAAAAGTTTGCCATTCCTATTTCATCACAAGTCTATTCAGACCACATTACTTACAAAACTTAAAATGGCAGTTTAAAATTTGTTTGACTTATTTCAGAACTATTGGGCTTCATGTCGCTAATAAGATTGATGAGAACTCAAAATATTACGAGAGTTTTCATTACAAGCCTAGGGGAAAGGAACAAGATAGAATATCTCCAGTTTCCCTAATTACATTAGAAAAATTTGGCAGGAGTACATCCCTTAAGATACAAAAGGATTTAGATTGGTTGTTTTTAATCATATTTTGATTATAGGATCAACAAGATTGGTAGTTATATGGGTTCAGGAAACTTTTGAATACGCCCTTTTGAACCTAATGCTTCTTAATATAAATTTCATATTGATTTGGCTTTTTTTATCAATCTAGCCTCTTCTAATTGTTTCAAATTAACTATGAAATCACCCTAAACTTTTAAATCACCCTTTAAAACTGGAGAAGAACCAAACAGGACTAATACCTTATGGCACGGCTCTTCCTCAGAGCTCTTTATATCTCTTATCTCACTTAACACTTGTGAGAACGCTATGTGGTAGATATCATTTTTATGGATGAGAAAACTGAGATTTAAGATATTAAATAACTTGGCCAAGGTCATCCAGGCAACACGTGGCAAAGCAAGCATTTTAACCCTGGCCTGACTCCAAATTTCTTTTCTGTTACATGTCACAGTAGAGGATATTCTGAGAAATAATTTTTTTCCCTGTTTCGTGATCACTGAATGTTGGGGTGACAAGAGAGACTACTACTGCCACCAGAATACTTGTCCCCTTGGAACTCTCAGTTATTCAGAGGTGAAAATTCAGCTGGCCAGTCACAAAGAACCCTCTCCCCCAACCTCTTCTGCTTATTCACTTCTCTAAAGATATACAAGAGAGAATAGTTCTGAGAAGGAAAAAAAACCATTCCCTTTGGCCCATTGATGAATGTTCTAATAAAAGGGTTGAGCAGAAAGAAGGTAGAAATTAAAAGGTTTGAACTGTAATTGCCCCAGTTTCTTGGTTCTCTAAGAGATATTAGAAAGCTGACTTGATTTTGGTGGAGACAGAAGAAGGTAAGCAGAGATGCTGACTTGCATTGTTTCTAGGTAAATCAGATGCACACGTGATGACACATTTTATTTTAAATTCAATTAAGTCATTCCTAGGCATAGTGTAAAGTGACATTCCATGTTATGAAAGGATATTTCTATTAGTAAATTCTATGCAAATGAGTCTCACTGGGCTGAAGTTTATGGGAAACACGGTTTTTCATCTTTGATGGAGATGCTGTAGCTTTTCCTACTGAACCAAGAGATGGACTGACTTTCCTGTGGCTTTCAAGACCTATGTTTAAATTTCATACTGTAGGGACAACAAATGTATTATTGTAAGTGCCTTGACTCTAGAGGAATATCAACTACTTCACAGGTAGAATACAAATATCATTCTCACTTTAAATCTGAGTAAACAGTCTTAAACACTTTCTAAATCCTATTATATGTACAAACTTTGCATGTAAAGGTTGAACCGAGTAGACAGAGGCGTGTAAGTAAATAGATCCTTCTCCCATAAGTACACAGTATTGAATGGAAGAGAAAAGGGCTTTATACTTTATTCCCTCAATCCCTCAATCAAAGACCTTTTAAAAGAAAAGGCAGAGTTAAAATATTAACCCCAGTTATATGATAAGGAACTTCCGTATTTGAATTTCATTGAATTATAGAGTTAGAAAGGGCCTCCCGAGGATTGGTTGTAATGCCAATCCCCTCCCCAGACCACCACCACCATCCTCCTTCCTGCAGTGCACTGAATCCGCTGATGTGAAGTATGATAACCTGTTTTGTGCTCCTTTTTGAAAATTTCATTTAAAATCTTGACCAATATCCAGGGACCTTTAAGAGGGAGGCAGCAGGGCATAACAGAAAGATCGGACTTGAAAGTTTGATTCTTCAGTCTCATTTTCCTCATCTACAAAATGGGAATGAGCACAGGGGTTTCGAGAGAATCGGAAATGATCAAAGTCTTGGCACAGTTCCTGGTACCCGGCAGTCCTTGCTAAGTGGTGGTTATTGTGATTATTATAGTCATTCTGTAAGCAAACTATTCGTATAAAGCATCCCCTAAAATGACCTTGCTAGTAATTACAGACATGTAGCTTCTTCAACTCTTATCAATCTTAAAGGGTCTTAGAAAAGTGCTTTGGTATTTGCATACGTTTATGCATTTGGATTAAAATGTAAAACCTCACTTAGTTTTAACTAAGCAGTGACCTATTGCAATTTAAGATCAGATAACTGTTGCCATCCTGCAAAGAAAGACTGCACAGCTGCAGCTCTGGGGGCACAGAGTCAGCAAAGCATCATCAGTAAGAGAACTAAGTAGGGGGACAGATCCCATGTGAGATGACAGAGATGCTTCAGGTACTTTTCAAAAAAAGGAAATTTCTTGACCCAACTAGGTCAGATGCTTTATCTCAACTGATTCTAAGCCATGAAAAACCTGACCAACAGTTTCTATATTCCTTCTAGAGAGCAGAGAATTCAGGATGGGAAGATAAATAAGCTTTCCCTGAGATTTCAGGAGGAAATGATTCTTCAAGGCTGCCAGGATAGTGGTGGTAATTGAGCAAACACATGAAAGCTTTGATGTACCTGCTACCTTACAACTAAAGAAGAAATTCGTTTTCTACAGGCTCACTTCCTCCCACTTTGCTTCTGCTTCTAAACCAGCCATTAGGCATCCATTGCTTTCCTCTTCCTTAAGTCTGCCACTTTGCCCCCCACAAGCATTTCAAAAGAAAGAGCAGTGGTGTACAATCTTGCTAGTGTTTGTGAACGAGTCTTTGATTTCTGATGCTCTTTCAAGCAGTCCTTCTGCAATTCTAGACTGAAAATTGTGGGCTCTTCACCATCTAGTCAAGGAAGCTCTAGGAAATGTTAATAACCCAATAGTTCCCAAGGATCCACGTGTCTTGTTCAAAGCAGAATTTCCAATGTCTGCAAGTCCCTGACATTTTAAAGGCATTCCACAAGGTTCTAATGAGTATTGACAGAATAATTCAGATGTACTTCTGGCTAAACACTGAGACAAAAATCAAAGAAATTTGAAAGTCCTTCTTGAACACGAGTTGCATTATTTAAATTTCAACAACATATCCATTATCCCTGATGGGGGTTGACTACAATTTTCCAGAAAACCATGAGGAATGGCTTCCTTACATTACTCTGGTGTTTATTGACCTCCATGGCATGTCTGGTCTCAGGTGGCTCCTTCATATGGGCATAATCAGAGATTCCTTTGGCAGCATTGTGTTTCTGCTTGTAGGCAATCTTAACAAAAACACACACACACAAATTATTGTTAGTTTCATTTAGAGGTGTACTGAATTCTTACCTGTTATGTTGCAGTGTTTCGCTAGGATTTTATATATTTGAATACCACCACTGATGGTCAAATTTGCCTAAGCATCCATAACAAAATAGTATACACAATACTTAAATGTTAGTGCTTCAATTCAGAGTCCTAATTCTACCTCTGTCATTTATTTCAAGTCCTTGACCATATGCTGAAATCACTTCTGGTATTCATCCAGCTTAAATTTCAGATACGGTTTTGGGAAATCTTTCACATGCACAAGGTTTTAGGGTCAATTTGTCCAAGGTTTAAATCTTGGGAAAGCAACTGACAAAGTGGGGGAAATGATTAGAAATTTAAAAGTGAATTGTTCATTTTTTAATTAACTGTTATGATTTTTATGTAGGCACTGCTACAATATAATATAAACCTCATTAAATGCCATAAGCTTTGGGAGAAAATATAACATGCAGGCAGAATTCTCAGATATGTCAAGCCCCATTGGAGTAATGAGCATCATACCAATGCCATCCATTACTGCCAAGTTAAATTTGTTGCACACTTGGATGGACAGAAGGCACGAGAATGATTACTTCAGAAGTAGAAGCAACGAAACTCAACAACAGAGTTAGAAATTAAGGAAGGCCCAAAGACAGCAAACAAACTATCCCCTTACTTTCAGGCTATGCCATTATCCTATTTATTTCCTTCACAATTTTTACTTACCTCATTTCATTTTTGTACAATTATTTCTTTTCTGTCTGCCCTTACTAGAACATAACTCTAATTCACTGAGTGCTGAGAACCCAGAATAGAGCCCGGCATAAAGTAAGCAGCAGTAATATTTGCTCAATGAGTGAATAAATAAATGACTGAATAACTGAATGAATGAGAATAAACCAGGAATAAATGAATGAATTATTTTAAAATTAATTTCAAATATATGTTAAAAGTTTAATAAAAAGATATTAAACAGAGTTAGAACTATTTGGCACAAGAGAATAAAGGCAACCTAAAAAGAAAAATTAGAACAGTGTTCATCAAGAACAAAAGAAGATCTAATTTTCAATGAAAAAGGACACGGTTAAACTTAAGGAAAAACTTTTCACCAACATGAGCTCCTTGAGAGCTGTGGCTGTATCTTAGACATCTTTTCATATCCTGTGCCTATCTTAGTGAATGTCAGAGAGTAGAAATGCAATAAGTGTTTAGTGAATAAGCAAATGAGTTTATTAAACATTTTCATGAACTTGAGCTCCTTATAGGTTTTAATAAACAGAATTAACCACTCATTTAACTTAGATACTATAATTGTCCAAAGGATTAAAGCAATAATTACACAGCTAATTTTTAAAAATAAAATCATCAAATCTGAGCATAAAAAAGGAAAGCCGTCTAGTCCAACCATCACTGTTTAAACCCTTCTCTGGCTCCCCCACTGAGTTTTTCTTGAAAACTTCTACTGAAAGAGAACTCAAGCTGGGACATCACAGTCTCTGAATTTTGAGAGCTCTGATACAAACGTCCTCTTTCAATGAAACCCCAATCTGCACGCCCAGAGCTGTATCTACCTGGCTATGAAGGAAGAGGCTGGCTCGCAGGACACAACTTCCAACGTGGAATACAGCCGTCAATGACTTCCACTCCTCCAGACTGTCTGCATGGGTAAAGGCTCTGAACCCCCGTATCCCCTAAATGCTCTCCTCAGAGCAAATTCCAATTTATCCATCTCTTTCTTAAGGTGCCACAATGTTCCAGATATGATCTGACTTATCCTAATTAGAATTGTTCAATTTAACCCAGGGTATCATCTCTCATATGCTACACGCTATTAATGCATTCAGAGATCACGTTTTCCTTTTGATGGCTATGCTGAGATTTCTGTCAACTAATACCCTTCAATCTTGTTCAGTCTTGCTCAGCCCTGTTCCCACATCCAATCTTGTGTATCTGGTTGATTACTAGGACTCACATGCAGCACATCACATTATTCCAGGAATAATTCATCTTGTTTGAGTCTGTCCATCGATTTAATCCATCAGGATATCCAATTCTGATGAGTATATCTTTAAATTTCACCAATTAATTATGTTAAGCAGGAAACCCATTAAGAACCTCCATTTGGGCTGAGAAAGTCCATTATCTCAGTTCCATTACATTCTATATTATAACTTTGCAAAGAGTGAGGAGGAGTTTAACGAGGGGCCAAGTCTAGTAAGCCAAGAAAAACTTCTTTGAGAGTTGTTCCTTCTTCTTAAATAAAAAATGCTAGTCTATGCCTATCTCCTTTTTGCTGGATGCCTGATTTATTTTGTATTTTAGTCTATCGTACTTGTGACTTTATAAATGTAACCAATGCGGCTGATAATTTTGTGGGTTATAGAAACGGTGAGTCATCGAACCCAATTTTAAAAAGCACTCTTTCTTAAAAAGGCTATGTAATTTTCCACTTGCTGCGTTAAAATAGTCGTTTCATTTATAGCTGCTACTAAGGACTGCTTTAGAATTAAGATTACATCAAATTGGAGGCAGCTGAACTTTAATTTATCATATTAATTTTCATCCTTAAAATAGCTAATGGGAAATTATGTCAAGCTAATAAATTTTCTGAGAAATTTGATTTCTTAGGGTTTGTCAGTATTGTGTCGCATTTCCCTAGATTAATACTGTTTTTTTAATACCTTGAGAATTAAGGTTGCTATGGTACTGGACACCTAACTAGTGGAGGACACTTGCAATAGTCTTATATACTTTATATATAAAGTTGCTTATGTAAGTAATATATACATTTATCTTATATATTTGATCTTTTAGTATATTTTTATATCTCATATAAATATGTTGTGTATATATGATGTACATATATTTCTAACTTACGGTATATTTTACAACTGCTATATAGGTAAATGTACTTTTAATCCCGTAGCATACACACCTCTGAAATTTCTAAAACGGGACACTGTGACCACTACAGATAAAAACACAGGCTCTGGAACCTGCCCCGTGGCACAGCAGTTAAGTTCACACGTTCCGCTTCTCCACGGCCCGGGGTTCGCCGGTTCAGATGCCAGGTGCGGACCCGGCACTCCTTGGCAACTATGCTGTGGTAGGCGTCGCACATATAAAGGAGAAGAAGATGAGCATGGATGTTAGCTCAGGGCCAGTCTTCCTCAGCAAAAAGAGGAGGATTGGCAGCAGATGTTAGCTCAGGGCTAATCTTCCTCAAAAAGAAAAAAAAAGAACACAGACTCACATAATCTTCTCAGTTCAGATGCCTGAGGAGCCTGTATGACTCTTGTGATAAAGGACTATTTAGGCTCTGCGTGAAACAGCCGTGGTGAGAAGGATCCACCACTTCATGGCACAGTCCATCCACTTCCAGAAGCTTTCCTTGTGATCTTTGTTTATAAGTTTTTTAATGGGAGATACCTAATAAAATGGCCTCCTAAAATCTCCACATCTCTCTCTCTTTTTTTTAAAGGCATTTCTTCTGATCGCTCATTTTCTATAAGGAATATTAACCTTGCCAATTTCACCCCATCACTCTAGGCTGAATGTAAGCATCTGAGAATGTTGGCAAATTGATTTCAACATAATATTTTGTTCCAATGTCGAAAGTTTAGGAGACTTTTCATTAGAACTCAGAAGACCATTAGATTTCAAAATTTGTCTAATACTTTAATTTAGGTTACCACCGATCTGATACTATTTGGAGACAATAAAGGGTTAGTTCTTTCATTATCACAGACACTGTCAAATAGTTCTACTTTCTTGCCTGTCTTATTACCAGGTAAGCTCTGAGAATTGCAATATTAACAATAATAAAATTGATTTATATAAATCGAAAGCAATGTCATTACAATTACATAAATCTTTGAAATAGATACATTATTCAGAACCCAGGTTTGTCCTTTCTAACAAGTTCAATGACTAGTTACAGCAGCGGGCAGTGCTGCTGCTGGAGAGCACACACATATCTTTCCCAGAGTGCACAGTCTACTATGGGATAATACACGGCAACAATGTAAGGATAACCTAGTCTGAAAAAAAAAAAAAAAAGATAGATTCCGAAATATACAATATGGATTCTTTTTCATGTTAAGTTGTATCTTGCACATATCTGTGTTCTATAGACCTGTTTATGCCATAAAAACGTGAGAAAAGTTGTGCGCGTCCAAAGCAATGAGGATGTAAATATCTCAAAATGGTACCTTCCCAAGTAAGAATAAAGATAAGAATAGATTGTTTCTCTTCTTTCTTTATTGCATAATTGCTGCTTGTCACCTATCAAGTGTTGTGTTGTAATTATTTGCTTTATAAAGTAGTCCATACTATCAGCAAGTGGCTAGGTGACCAGATGTTGGCAGGAAGAAAAAAGGGCCTATTAGTCATGGTCAGCCATGCAGAATCCCGACAGCATATATTTTTAGCCTCATGTTGCACAGCTGAGATTAGCTTGCTGCCAAGTTGGTACACAGTGGACATTTAAACTTGTAATAATGAAGTACTTAAAGATGTTCTGCAGAGGACAACTATGCTCAGTATTTTTCAAAAGTGATCTATTTTCAGACTATTTTAAAGTTACGTAGGTATCCTCTACCTAAAAGTAAAAAGAGGGGCTGGCCCGGTGGCATAGTGGTTAAGTTCACATGCTCCGCTTTGGCAGCCTGGGTTCATAGGTTCAGATCCTAGGTGCGGACCTAGCACTGCTTGTCAAGCCGTGCTGTAGGGGTGTCCCAGGTAAAAGAGAGGAAGAATGGCACAGATGTTAGCTCAGCGACAATCTTCCTCAAGCAAAAAGAGGAAGATTGGCAACAGACGTTAGCTCAGGGCCAATCTCCCTCACAAAAAAAAAGCTAAAAGATTCTAGAGAAAGAAGTAACTTGTTTAATAAGACAAAGAAGGGTAGAAATGGTAAGAAAGAGGTGATACAGTACAGATAAGAACCCAGACTCTGGAGCCACTTATCCACATTCACGTGCGGGCTCTGCCATTTATTTGCTGTATGACCTTGGGCAAGTTACTTAACCTCTCTGTGCTTCACTTTCCACATCTCCAAAATAAGCCTACTTCATGGAGTCGTGAGGATTAAATGATATAAATATATGTAAAATGCATAGAACAGTACCTGACACATAGTAAGCATTTCTATGTGTTGGCTATTATTATTAACCTAAAATGTAGCACGAAAAATATAAACTATGTCAAAGGAAACATTTTCTTGGAAAGGAAATTAATAAATTGAAAAAAAATTCATTTTACAAGTAATTTTTTAAAATTTGTATTCAATTTCTTTAAATTAAAAAAAACAATGGTTCATTTTACAAGTATTTAAGGAACACTTTCTGTGTGCCAGGGACTGTCCTAAGCTCAGGGGAAGGGCAGGAAACAAGACAGATGAGGTCCTTGCTCTCTAAGGGAGCCCAGTAATAGATTAATAAAGTAACCCAAAAAAATCAGATTATGCCCTGAAGAAAACAAGAAAATAAATTGAGTGAGAAAGAGGTGAAATATTCTATTTTGAAATTCTGTTTTAAGAACTACAATAGGTTAAATGCATTAAGAATTTCTTACGTGTTGCTGTACTATTAAGGGACAATTACTTCTAAACTTTTGTGGAATCAAAATGAGTTTATGTGATGACAGTTCTTACGTTCATCTGCAACCTGCAATCACTAAAATGGCCATTTCCACCTGATAGAGGCTCTTTCGGGGAGCCTGCGATATTCTAAGTCAAAAACACAATCCACAGAAAAGAAGTTCTGGAACCACTTGTCTCATTGATGGAGCAGAGACTTGTGGCTCCCGAATCTAACCATTAACTCTTTATGTGACTTTTTTTTGAGGTGTACTTAACACACAGTATTATGTTAGTTTCAGGTGTATAACACAGTGATTCAACATTTGCATACATTGTGAAATGATCACCACAATAAGTCTAGTTACGGTCTATCACCTTATAAAGGTCATACAATATTATTGACTATATTCCCCATGCTGTACTTTACATCCTCATGACTTTATTTTATAACTGGAAGTTCGTAATTCTAAATGCCCTTCACCCATTTCACCCCTTCCTCTCTGGTAACCACCAATCTGTTCTCTGTATCTATGGGTAGGGGTTGGGTTGGGTTGGGTTGGGTTTGGTTTTTAGAGTCCACATATAAGAGAAATCATATGGTATTTGTCTTTCTCCGTCTGACTTATTTCATTTAGTATAATACCCTCAAATTCCATCCATGTCGTGGCAAGTGGCAAGATTTCATTCTTTTTTGTGGCTGAGTAGTATTCCATTGTGTATATATACCACGTCTTCTTTACCCCTTCATTCATCAATGGACACTTAGGTTGTTTAAACAATCTTTATGTGACTTTTAATAAGCTACTGGAATGTTCTCCACTTAGAGATCACATGTTAAATAGGAAACTAGTTTAATATTTGCTATAAGATTTTAATCTAAGTAAATTGTCTGAATAGGATTAAAATCTGTTCTATTAATAGCAGTGAAGGAGACTAGGAAAAACAGCATCACGTGACCACAATAAACTTGCACGTCCTTTCCATTTCCTGCGATTCCATCAGGGACTACTGACAGCACATGAAATATCAGTCGCTTCTATCTTTCATTTAATATCATAGACAAACAACTTTTTAAACATGCTAAATAATTCATATTAGATTATACATTTGATCTACATAATATATATAATTTAGGAAATCACACCTCGCTCTGAAGCTTCGTAACTTCTCTTGCAAAGACACTGTCAATCGTTGCTGGCATCTGCTTATAAAGAGAATTGGAAAGGTCTGCCTTAATGGTGCCTTTGTATTTTGCCTAGAGGGAAGAAAGAAAAGAAAAAAATAACCATTCCTTTCTTTTTTACTGTGACTACTGAAAGAGAATAAAAAGAAACTTTCTTCAGACAGAATTAATTTAAAAATCGGAACACCATTTGAACTGTAGATACTGGACCTGATAAATATATTTGGAAAAGAGATCAATAAATCCAATTCACCATGGAGAAAATGTTAAAAGACACACACAAGAAAATAATGACTATTATTCTATTTAAACCCATGTACATTTCTCAAAGTACATCTATTTGCATGAATTGACAGTTTCATATGTTGGAGCAGTGAAGAAAAACCTAAGAACAATGAGATATTCCAGAAAGTACAAGTCCTTAGACTCTCCTGGCTAGAACCTGAATGCAAAGACAGCATTCCTTTATTGAAGTCATCTTAACCTCCTTCTACCACGACGGGTGGTCAGCGGGCTTTTTTGCTGTTTCTGCAGCTTCCCACCTCCAGTCTGCACTGTCTCTAAGCGATCTCAATCCTTACTCAAAAAAAGAGAAACACTCATTCGCCATTTCCTCTTGGGGAGCAGGTCCAAAGCAACACAACAGACTGCCCACTTCCATTTTTTTCATTCTGCACTTAACTCCTTCAGGAAAAAGACTCAATTACTAATTACAAACGCCAAGAATTTCTCTGCAGAGGAAAAGTAACAGCTCACACAAATAAACAAAACTGTGTTTTTCCTCACATGTTTACAAGTCTCTGATCCTACTCCCACTCGGAGCTGGACTTGAGCGTTGATTTATCGAGCATATATCCTGTGTAAGCCTTGTGTTCCCACAACTCTTTAAAGTTTGGTACTTAATAAAAGACAATTTACCAATTTTCTTCAAAATGTTTTCATGTTAGCAGAAATAATCCCGAGAATATCATGCTGATCTGTTTCAAAGGTAACTCACAAAACACTAGAGGTCAGTCATTTACAACACTACTTGATTCATTCTCAAGTTTCTCTCTTCTAAGTGACGTATTCAGGCTATAGAAATGCCTGATCACCGTCATCACTGCTAACCTCGTGCTTTTTAATGGGACATGAACAGTGGTTCTAAATGCTCTCGGAAAGAGACTGTGATTTTTCAGGTGGAAAATGAATGTAGCGCATTTCTCACTCTATGGTTTCAGAATGGGTATCTCTATTAAACTGATCCCCTACTCAAAATAGGTTGAATTGATTTAAAATTATTTACTAAAGATGCCACTTTTAATGGAATCAGCTGGTAAATTTTACTTATTTTTAAAATGATATTCAATAATTTATACCTAATAAGTCTGTTAGAAAATAAAATAATGGAACTTCTAAAACGAACTATTTTGCCAGTACTTTCTAGTTATTGAATAAAAATATCCCTTTCCAAGAGTACTTCTACATAAATAAGAAAGGGGTGGAATCAAAATATAGACATATATAATAAAGTATATCAACCATAGACAGTAAAATATATCAATTTACACCAGTTAATTGACAGCATATATTACAGAATTGTACAGATATTCCAATGTTCAGTTGTGCTTTCAAAAATATTATTCTCTAAATTTAATGCACAAATGTCTATCCACATACATAGAAAAAGAAAATGCAAGCTATTTTGCAAGTTTTGATACCTTACCTCAGAAATATAAGCGCCAATATTTTTTACGTGGTTTAGCATAGGAGTGTCAGTCACAAATGTACACTTGCCCTTAGACTTTTTATACTCTTCTTTATAATGGATCTAAAAGAGAATATTTACATAAGAAGAGAAGAAAAACAATTTTAATGTTCCTTTTTTGAAGAGAAGAATTAACTTGCCAAAGTCCACTTTCTGAAGTAAATACTCAAATGTGGAATGATGCTCAAAACAAGCCAGAGCAAATACACTGATACCCAGCACAGCACAGTAAAGGTGATGAGCATAGGAAGGCAAAAGTGTTCCTTAGATGAGCTGGGGTCCAGTTACTGTCAAGGACCGGGTATATTGGAACGACTGTGACTATGGGCCCTGTCTGCCCAGCTTGCTCAGCATAATTCTTAAACATTCTCCATTTCCTTTGAACAAATGTCCTGGTTTATTGTTACTTTCAAGCCACTGACCATAACAGTGAAGCCTATGGTAAGAGAGAAACACAGCTTCTGACCTCTAGGTTTAAAACAAATAGTCATCAGGACAGATGTAACTCATTAAGAAGTGGAGGCAGAAATTAAACAAATAGAGATTACTATTAGCATCATTACCTATATATGCTGGATTAGAGGAAGAAGCTTAAATTGTGGCCACAATGGGCTTCCTGTTACTAATTAATTCTACTCAAATCAAATTTACCCAACTTATGAGCACCCTCTTCCTTCTCCTCTCCCCCAACAAGAGCAGAACCCGCCCAGAAAGCTTGTCACATGGTGGAGATCATTCCAGAATGCCTCCTTGCTATGGGTAGGCAGATGGGCAAGACAAAATTCAGAGGTTTAGCTGAGCATGCTCACTTCTTCTCTCGAACTCACTAGTAAAATGAGTCACTTCTTTCCCCTTGGGCAGAGGCCAGAATTGCTACTCTGGGGAAAACCTGTCTGGAGCCAAAAGGAAGTCAGGAACTATGGAGAAGGACCTAAAAATGTCATCCCACGGTCAACACTAATTGCCGTCCAGTCTGAAAACTGGGGAGGCAAAACTTCTGACTAGTTGAAAGGATGAAGGTAATTTGCTAAAAGTTGTGTCACCCTGTAATAAACTCATGTTTATCCACCCAAGACTGTAAATACTTAGAGTGAAAAAAGTGTCCCAGTTCAGATGATAAATTACATGGTCTCCCTAATTATAACCTAAAAGTGAAGTTTAATTGTATATACTACCTGGTTCTTAAAAGACATGACCAATATTGATGTTACACACTAAGCTTAGATGGAGCTTTTACCAAATGCAAGCCTGATCTGAGGGGCAGTATTGGACCTGAGGTATGACCAGACAGGAACACAGTAAGTTATTTCTAAATACCATATTTCACTGCTGTGACTCTCAGATAGCAGATGCCTACCACATTAAACACTTGCTTTATTCATGAAATCAGCATTAGAACATATTTATCTTATCTGAGCACTAAATTACTTTTTTTTTTCTTCTCAGAGATTAGCCATAATTTTAGGTCTCTGCAAATCACCTTCCTCAGTTGCTAGTAATTAAATCGTTAATGGCAGTATGATAAATAGTAGGCTATTTTGATCATAAGGAGAAAAAAAAAGTAACTCCGTTATATAATTAAGTGCGAGAGAAAATAACGTATCATTAGGCTCATTATTTGTATCTTTTGCCACCATCTTTTCCCTGTCACATTCACATTCTTCCCTGAGCGGTATGTGCCATGACTACAGGCCCCTGATAAGCTGTGACCCGAGGAGAATGTTCGGGACAGAAACACAGGATAAGAGTGAAGTATTTACTTCCTTTGCTATGCAGGCAGAGTTCAGTCTTAAGTGTGGTCTCCATTCCTTTCTTTGGTCTTTATTTAAAAGACACACAGACATGTATTTTTTGCTCATTGTCACTCATATTGTATTTCTAATGAATTTTACAATGTGAGTGACAATAAGTGAATGATCTCAAATTTTACATAAAGAATGCCATGTATTAGTAGCCTTATCTATATACCAGGATAATAGGAAAAGACAGACGAAAGGAAACTGTGCTGATGACTGACACAAAATCTGAGGTAAACCAAAAATCACTGAGTTGACAGCCATTTCCTATTACGACCTTATAAATTTCCTATCACAACCATCGCCCCACCTATTGGACAGATTGCCTATCCAAGTCCCTTCTTTCCTAATAACAGAACCCAAATGTGTTTATGAACATAGTCAGGCCCTGCCCCAGCCCCAGAGGACACATTGCTCTCAACCAGGCATGGTTTTCTCATTCCCCTGAGCTAGTGATCAGCCAGGAGAGGCCAGGTGCCCAGTTCTGGCCATGAGGCATGCATAGAAGTCTTCCCAGCAGTGTTACTGGTGTTTCTGGTATAGAGAGATTTTGCTGGCACAGCCCTTAGACTTTTGCCCTTCCACCTTTTCCATTCCCCAATCACAGGGGTGCAGCAGCAATGATGTCATCCTAAGGCAATAAGCCACCATACTAATGACAGCAGAGCAGAGGCAAAGCAGCCTGCGAGACAGAACTTCCACTGAACCAAGACTGGACCCCTGGCCTCCAGGCTTCACATGTGAAAAGAATAAATGTCTATTTGTTAAGCTTCTGTGCTAGGGTTTTCCTGTTACTTGAGGCCACCTGCACTCATAACCAATACACCAGTCAAATTATTTTCTAATTGGGAAAAAGAAGGGCAAAGTTGATGACTTAACGATCATGACGATACCCCAAATATTTACTTTCTGCTTTGACCTCATCCATTAATCCCGCCATGTCTCAAACACAATTAGAGTTCAATTAGTTCAGCGGTGCCTCCTCCTCTTTGCCTGGCTTCTTTGACTTAGAATGAGATTAGCTAATGGCTGAAACGGGATGACAGATGTAGAAATGTGTGAGGGTATTTCCTTTAACAAGCATTCTTAACCACACGTATCTAGAAAGTCTTTTCACAAATGAAGCCATATTGGCTAAACGCAATAGACTCTGGAGGAAAGAACTGTTGCTCCACCACTCTGTGTGAACTGGGGCGCTCCCAGCCCAGCTGCTCTCCCAGGTTTGCTAACACAGTCGGAGCTTCCTCTGAAGGGGTAACCACAAAATCTAATGTTTTCAGCATCGGAAGGATTTACTCACAACAGATAATGTTCATTTGCCCGGAAAATGTTCTTTCTGCTGCCAGGTAGAGGAACACCCTAAGAGGTTTGAACCAAAACATTGAGTCAGAGGCTTCCTGCAGGTGTGGCCGAACTAGCCCTGCAGAGATTCTTTATGCTTAACCGACAAGAAACATAGAAAAGACTCCCTTTTAACCTAATATTTTTTGACCACCTGACAAAAGGCTCCTATAGGCATGATTCTGACAGCTCAAGAGAGTCGATTGGTTGGCTTGATTTATTCAGAGAAACGATCAGATAGTTGACGAACAGGACAAAAGACCCGAGAGAGAGGCTATCTGGGGAAATAAAAAGTGTTACAGGCTTAAAAAAAAAAAAAAACAAAGAGATTGCCTCAGAGGACCAGGAGTCTTTCAAGATTGGGGAGTGAGTAATGCCAAGGGAAGCCCCACACTATGGGCAGGGCAAGCGCAAAGCAGAAACTAGATGGGGCAAAAAAAATTGAAAACTGCCTCATACTGATCCTCAAAGTGAAGCCACCTGACCTGAAACTCAGGCATTTCTTTCGATGGAGAAATCTAAACAGTCGGGGCTCCCCGGACTTATCTCTAGACCGATCTTGTTTAACATTTTCATAAATGATCTGGCAAGGGTGTGATATGGCAGAGGCTGCAGGTCTGCTGATGACCCCAAGCTCTCCCGGACAGTGAAATGGCAAGCTGAGAGAGATGAATGAACTGGGGAAGCTGTCAAAGGGCCCAGCAAGAGGGCAGAAAACCACAGATCAGATTCCTCACTAGCAAGGCGAAAATCATTCAGACTACTATTAAGAGATGATGGGCCCTAAGCCATCAGCTACAAGTCAGAAATTAGGACCGAAAATGGCTGAGGATATGTTTCCATATCTAACAGCTTTCCACAGCCCCCAAGTCCAAGAAACTCCAAATATCATCACAGACGGTGCAGGAAGCAACGGGCAACATCACCTCATCCTACTCATAATCACAGGCCATTAACACCTGGGCCGCTGTGCACAGTGCTGGTTATTACACCCCAATAAATACACAAAAGCTAGAAGACGTCCAAAGAGGGATAATCAGAATGACGAAGGGGATGTAGAAAGACGGCTCCATGAAGAGAAACCCATAAAACCACCCTTCTCATCTAAAAACCGGAGCAGAGTGGCTACCAGTGGACTTAGCCTGAATCTGGTCCCTGCCCCTCACTAAATGGGTGGCCTTGGGCAAGCTACTCAACCTTGGGTTTCACCACCTCTGAAGTGAGGCTCATAGAACCGATGGCACTGGCTTGCTGTGGCAGAGAATCCATAATATATGTGGAGTGCCTATCCCACAGCAGGAGAGGAAGAACATGATGGCAGTGAAAGCTTGGGAATCAGACAGGCCTGGTTGCAAATCCCGGGTCTCTAGATCACTAGCTGTGTGATTTGATCAACAGACGTGAGGCTGCTGCTTAAAGCTCCAAGATGTTGGACCTTGCGAAGCAGGCAAACCATACCCCAAATGTACCTGGAGACACAGGCTGCCCACAGATAGCCTTTGAACAAACTAAAAGGCTCAGGTAAACATAGGGGTCCCCCTTTGGGATATAATGGATCATAAAACAAAATGAAGGGAATTGAAGGTTTGGCTTTAAATTTAAGGAGATCAAGGAAAAGACCAGAGCACTAAATTAAATTGGGGACACCAACAGATGGGCACCCTCAGAGTGTCATGCAGTCTTGACTGGAACCGCATTTAAGTCAGTGCAGCAACGCATCAATTTTTATATTTTAGCTCCGTGAGTGATGCAACTTCAAATATACATCTTAGACAACCATCTAGTCATGCAGACAATATAAGAGAGATACGAACTACAAATTCAAGTTCATCTGCTCCATATTAAAACATAGATGACACTGAGAGTGAATAAGCAAGTTATTACTTAATAAGACTTTTTATCTAAACTTCTAAAAACTAGAAATTTGATTTAGTCCAATACACAAAGTCCTTCCAGAAAGAAGAGTAAAGTAAAATTTGTTTTAAAAATGATAGTACAAACTCTTCATTTTTCTTTAGAAACACAAAAAGTAATTGTTCAGACCATTCCTCAGTAAATATAAAAATTCCAAAAATTAAACCAGTATCTTCCTAAGCATGGAATTCTACTTCGAAACAAAATGAGAACATGGACACACATACAAATTAGGCCACAGTAATATGATCTAAATATTTAAGGAGTACATTCTGTCATGCAACACAAATTTCCAATAAAAATAAATTACTCCCACGTGTTTGATTTCACCTACATGGGAGTGAAATAACATGGCTTCAGTTTTTGCAAAATGGTAAAGGCCATCGCCCTCACCACAAGGCTGGTTTTATAACCACTGAGAAACAACGTTATCCAAAACAACGCCAACAAAATCACCTACTAACTAAAGTCGCCACTTTAGTTCCAATGGTTTATATGATATAATTTAGCTCAGCCACAATTACACTTCAACCCAACATAACAACACTGCAGGAAGTGCTGTCTCCAGAGTTACGAAACTTAAGGTTAAAATGGCAGCGTTACTATTACTGATATGAGTGTGATAAATAATAACAAAGCTAAGATAAACTTTGCATGGAAATCACAGTGAGAAAGAACACAGCAGAGCGGCTAAAAGAGAGGGCATTGTGTTCAAGTTCTGCTCCCCAGTGCTTAACTGGGTGACCCAGGCAAGTTACTTAACCTCTCTGAGCCTTCGCTTCTTCACCTCTAAAATGAGAAGAAAGCAGAACCTACCTAACAAGCAGCAATGCCTGGCACATAGTACACAACAAATCTTAACTGTGGCCTATACTATTGTTGTTGTCATCATTTTATTATTATTATTACAGTTTACAAAGAACTTTCACATGCAGTAGCTTATGATATTAAGTAATCACACAAAGAAATACTTCATCTAAAATTTAATTACATCACATGTCAAATATATGGGAAAAGGAACAATTCCCACTATGCTTTGGCTCTTTTCAGCAAACCAGAGGGTGACAGAGAGCCACATATAAAACATGATTGGATGGATATGAAAGTCATTTACAGATGTAGTGGTTAATAACAGTTTAGCATCTCTTGAGTATTCACAACGTTCCAGCCAGTTTACTGAACATTTAAGATGTGTTACCATTACTTAATCTTGCTGTTATGACATTGCCCTTGAGGAACAGGGCCCCACTAGTTACAAAACCTGCCCAAGGTTACTGCTAGGTTGTCTCAGGCAAGTTGACTTCAGAGAACATGCCACCACACTACCCCACTGCCCAGGACGGGCTTCCTTTGAAAATAGTTGTAACATGCTCTAATCACATTGCTTATTAACAACAACAGAAACCACCAGTACCATGCTTGCCTCTCTAAATGAAGACGCAGGCACGTATTCACTTTTCAGGCGCCATCTTTCCTCTGTACCAGCAATTCTCTTACAACTGTTTCAATGAGGATCATCAAATTCTCATTCCTACTGAGGAATATTTTTCATTGTGCTTCCAGAATTTAGTTTACAAATCTACTGTAAACACATACATATATATGAGTTAAATTATTCTACAATTCTAGAATTCCCTTGAAATACACTATAAACTGACCTCAGTTACTGAAAGGAGTCACAACAAAAATATTCCTTTGGACTAATATCATCATCATCTAATTCAGGGTCTTAATGTGCAGTTCAGTAATCCATGAATCCTAAATTGTAAATAAATGTTATGCGTGTAGAGATATACGCATTTTCCTGGTTTGGAAAACTATGGTATTCATTAGATTCCTCAAAATGTCCCCAAAATGTTTTAAAAAACCATTCACTTAGAGAAAGATCCTCCCAAAACAAATTATATCATTATATAAATTTTAAAAGGCTTTGGGGTTTTCAAATGAAATATGCTCTGAAATTCAATGGTTTATGACTCCATGGCAGAGTGACAGTGAAATTCATGAGGGACAGGATTCTGGATTAAGAACATGGAGATCTGCTCCCGCAGAAATTCTCTGCATGGGGGACCTTGGGGAAATCATCTCACATTTCTGGACTTAGTTCCATGATCTGGAAAATAACCGTGTTTTAACAGGTAATTTCAGGGTTTTCTCCCCAGCTCTATGATTCTATGACATAACAGTGCCACACACGCAACACAAAATAAGACAAAAATGCCTTAAATCACTTACATCACTAATGAGTTGAGTGCATTTTTTGGCCAATTCCATGCTCAGGTCGTCAATAACAGGCTTAAAGAATACCTGCCCGGAAAAAAAGGGAACATGTTTCTAATCAGCAACTTAGAGGAACAAACACCGTCCTTTAGCAGCCGACTTGCCACTCACCTTGTCTTCTTCATTTTCTTCTTCCCCTGTTTTTTCCTCCTCAGTTTCATCTCTTACATCCTCGAATACAGGGACCTTCATTTTTACTCTTTCTATATGTGTGCATATATATATTTTTTATAATTCACCTTTGTATGTCCTACAGCACCCTTGAGATCTTGGAGTCTCTGCAGTTCTGCAGAAATGACCTTGCCCAGGCCTGCTCCCCACTTAGCTCACACTTCGCTCTCCTTATCACAACTGCCTGTGAGTGGATGGAACAGGATCGTGGAGGCCGGCCAGGGCTAGCCTCCCAAGTAGAAATAACCTTCTAACAGGCAAAATTCAATTTTCTGAACTTTTAAAGTCAACATTCTTTAAATTGGCTAAGAAATCCAAAAGAGACTATTTATTTATATTTCATTAATTCAATTCATTCATAAAGTAGCTTGAAAGGGACAAAGATTCTGGAAAAACTACTAAGCTATAACACTCAAGATAGCACAGTCCAAAAGCCTGTTATCTCAAAGATTCCTCAGTTCCATCTAAATAAAGCTTTCGCTGAAATGTCAGACATATCTCTTCTGATTTGGCAGAGTGAATCTGGATCATTCAAACTCATTTCATTAACCTAAATTAAATTTTTTTTATGAGACATACATGTACTTCTCACATTCTAAATAATACTCATATTAGCTGATTAAAGGCTGGTAATTTATTTTGAAAAGCCCTTTGAACCACTTCAAAGAATCTATTCTGAGATAATTATGACTGTTAATCTTATATTGCTATTGTATTATTTCCATTGTAAACATCATTAAACATGAGAAGCTGCAGTTAACATAGGTTGACATATCATTTAAGAATTCTAGAAACATCCTTTTTTCAAAAAACAATAATCATCCTCTTTCAATTCTGCCCACTGTGTTAATTTTTACAAATTTACTAGTTATTTGTATACTCCTCATTGTGTACCACATGCTTGGAAAATTTTGGAAAAATAAACTATAACAATATTTATAATGTAGTATGTGTCATAATTTATATAAGTAAAAATATATTTCTCAAAATAAACCCTTTAATGTCAATTTAAGCAATCCTAAGACATTACACGACTCATAATTCACCAATTTGGTTATTTAAATCCACATATGAATTAATATTTATAAAGTCATAGCAGATCAGTGTTGAATATAAAAATTACTCTATAGTGAATGATGAAACTATTTATATAAAATACAACTTTATTCAAAATAATACATCATCCAAAGTGGCCAAGTATAATGCTGTTTTCTCTTAATATCATATCCAGTTTTAAATTTTTTTTTTTAAATTACCTTGGCTTTATTCTAGAAAATTGTTGGTCTTTTCATGAAACAATTTTGATACAGGCTAACTTAATGGCCTCCCATATCATGCTTATCAGCAAAATGCTAAAAAAGAAACGCCCCAAGGGTGCTAAATTTGGAAACCTTCACTTTAAACTAATAGCCATGCCATGCCCAGTGTCGAGAAGTCTACAAGGAAAGTCTCTGCATGTTCTATTTGTTCCATAAAGGAGCAGAATGTATGGGATCTGATTGTCTCACTTATGTCCTCTGACAAAAGAATATTCCAACACTCTACAGAAGATCCATTACATTATCTTTATTTGGAAGCGGGGAAGAGCAATTTCTGCAAGCTTTTCTTGCAAACCTCTAGAAGTATCGGGAGAAAATCTTGCCAAAGCTGCCTAAGATGCACCTCTTGGCTAGTGTTGGAGATGACAATACTTGTGTTGTTCATGGTGATATCTATTTCCCATGGAGAATTACCTTCATCAGACTTCAACGGCTGCTATTTTTTCATTTCCCATCATGTAACAAGTTCTTACTGACTCTCCACTGTGCTGAAAGAAAACAATCTGTTGAGATTATGCACAAAAGTTTTGAAAGCAAAACCAAACACCATATGCAATGTGAACACAAATTTCCATTGAAGATTATTTGAGTCAGAATTTTAAAGCCACAGGGATCCTTAAGAAATCAATCCTATTAAAGCCCTCTCTTTTACAGAGGACAAAATTACGGTCATGATAAATTCTCTCTATCATTCACAAAGTTATTTAATGGAGCACTAGGACGAGAACTTAATCAGAACCTTATGTTCATTCATTCAAATAAGTGTTGTTATGCCAGGCACTGTGCTTGGTGTCGGAGACACAATGGTGAGTAAAACATCCTTTGTGCTAAGAGAAGGTAGGAATAAAAAAATCCATCATTCAAGATTTGCTGGGTGGCAAGCTAGATAGATACATTATGACTTTTGATTGAATGCATCTTTTTTCCTTTCACCTATAATAAAAAACTCACGTAAAGTTTTCTCTAAAACATTTTAAGCCCTGTACTTTATCACAGCAGAGCTCTCTTGTCAATGGCTCCAAAATGCCATTTGGGGAATAAGAAGGAAGCGTTCTTCATGGATAGCTATCATGTTTCGAATTCCTTATCATCCTCTTTTTTTAAAAAAATCAAGTTAAGTGTTGTATTTTAATACATTTTTTCACCTTGGAGTGCCCCAAAAGAGAATGTCTGTATAGCTGCTAATCCATTTTACTCATTGAGTAAATTTTATGGTGTCTACTTTTCGCTTTAGTGCTCTACTCATGCCCTGATACAGAACGAGACGAAGATGGGGATCACATTACCTACAGCTGGACTCCCTCCTTTCAGATCTGGCTCTCCCACATCCTCTAGGGCAAATTATTTAATCCCGCTCTGCCTCTAATTCTCCATAGTTGAGCGAATAAACTGAATTGCTATAATTTTTCAAAAGCACTTCAAAAATAGTAAGCCCCAAGCCAGCCCTGATGGCCTAGTGGTTAAAGTTTGGCACTCTCGCTGCTTCAGCAGCCCGGGTTCATTTCCCAGTCACAGAACCACACCACCCATCTGTCAGTTGCCATGTTGTGGTGGCGACTCACACAGAACTAGAAAGACTTACAACCAGAATACACAACTATGCACTGGGGCTTTGGGGAGAGAAAAAAAAACACCAGAAAGATTGGCAATAGATGTTAGCTCAGGGGGACTCTTTCCCTGGGGAAAAAAAAAATAGTAAAGCCCCTTACAAACACAAAATTTTTCAACTATCCAAAAAGGGTATACAATCACAGGAAAAACACTGGATATGAAAGGTTTTCTCCTTTGAAAGGGTAAGACTCTATACCATCAATATCTTTTTAAAGGTCAGAAGAGCCTCATAAAGAATAATAGCCTAAAGATAAGAGCTAACTTGTGTATGTATAATACAGAAGTCTTTCATCTTTTTATAGTTAGATATTTATGTAAAAGCAAACGTGTTTCCATAACAATTGCCAGGTCACGTGGGTAATTCAGGTCTCAGGGACACAACCCCTGGCCAAGAAAACACGTCTATAGCTCCATCTTGAGTCATGCAGCCCTTGACTATCTTCGATGTTCTTAGGGTCACATGCGACAAGAATCTCTTGGGTTTTGACAAGCATCTCATACTTATTTCACTTTTTTCTCCTTTCTTTTTTTTCTAGCAATAGAACACGTGCTTTTCTCCAACATGGTCATGAGTAACTGGTAAACAAAAATCCATAATAAACAATTGAGATAGATTGAGATTCAGTTCTGAGTTGAAGAAAACTTACAGAGCTAAACCAATTTCTTCCACTTTAAAAAAAGTAATTCAACATTTCTTATTATAAAATATCCCCCTAAATGGTTAGATGAGAAGGGAATTAGTTCATCTGACTTGCTGGCCTGCCTTGGCAGTCTTTTCACATATCATTGTTAGTTGCCTAGGTTTTTCTGATGACTATCCGCCAGAAAGTTCTTGCTTCTCAGTTGAATCTCTGATTATTTTACTTTTGCCTCATATAATTCCTCATCATTTGGCATCTGCCCAAAAGAGAACTTTACTAATAAATGAAGGGGAGAAATCATTTCTCAAAACAAGAAATGTAAGCTCTCTAGGGCAATTGTCTTCTTTATAAAAGTTCTGTTTGATATTAGCTCAATCTATTTTTACAATTTACAGTCATCTCCTTTTTAATGGCTATTTCATTACTGATTGGTAATTAGAAATCAAAAGAATACAAAGCAACCTGTATAACTGTCATCATTACCAATTATGCCGTTAAAATAAGAGGTAATAGAGTGTTTTTCTGTATTCATATTGCTATTTTCACAAATGTAGATCCTATTGACAAATGAGAGCCACATATCTAGACTGGCATCGGAGGAAAAGAACAAGAAACTGCAAATAAGTTTTAACACAACAATTTCCAGGTTGGGATGCCAAAATTAAAATATCTATTCTTCTAAATAGATTGACAGGGAAAAAAAGAGTATTCTTATTCAGAGTCTACATTAACATAAGTACCCAGTGAACTGAAAGACTTTGGTCTAATTTGAGATTACTTGAGGTAATTAGTTCAGTTTTAATAACAATGAAGCTAATACCTTAAACATGCCCCCAGTCCTTAAGGGTCAGGAATGATCAAAGGGCTTGGCTACCCCAAAAAGCATCCCTTTCTTAGAGTTTTGTGTGAGATGTCTCAGGAAAAATTGTGAAAGACTTTGAAACTGGTGAAAAACAAAGATTACCTCGTGTCATATCTAGTGTTATCTTCTGGCTAATTTGGACTTTCAGTGTCTTTGAACTACTTTATGACTCCATAAACTGTGAAAAACTGATAACCATGCTAATGAGTCTTTATCCATACAAATGCAAATTAACTGCGTCCTGGGGAAAAGCAATTGATTATTGCCTTGTTGATAAACCCTTTTTGTGTCTACTTGTAAATTCATTTCAGCATTCCTTATTACTCATTTATGTGTAGTTCTTCAAATTCACCTTTGAACCAATTGTAACATCTTACTGGTGCCCTCGTTAATTAATGAGTTAAAATCTTTGAAATGTGTTCATTTAATGTTATATTAGAGTCATGATTTCACCATTTTTTAAAAAAATTCTTTAACAGATGCAAAGGATTTAATTATCCTCATTGCTTTCTCATTCAGCAAAAATAGAAAGAGAAGGCATTATTGGATAAAGCCCTATTCTCTCAATTGTGAAATATAGATGTAACAATTTTTGGTGTTTATTGAAATTAGCTTTTTGTTTTGCTTTGTTTTGGGGTCTATCTCCCTTGACTATTGACAAATGCCACATGTGTGCTTGTGTATATGTACCTTCACACGCAAAACACACACATGCACCCAAGCAGAGTTAATTCACCACAGCTGCCAGTTCCCTCTTGAAAAGCATACAAGGCTTCAATAAATGCAAAGACTTAATTACTTCTCACATCTGGAAAAACTTGAATATGAGAGTGGATTTATTGAAGAAGCTCTTTGCTTGGCTGTCAACACCATATCAAGAGCCAGAGAGCGAGCCGGCTTGATCACTGTTGGCGGTTCTTTAACCCTTCAGAGATGCATGTTCCACCAACGAATTCATAACATGTCCCGCTTACATGATTTATGAATTTTATGAAAACACACTAAAGTAAATAATTTCCGAGTCACTTGTGGAGAAAAACTGTTTTTGTCATGTTTCCAGGGGGAAAATCATATATTAAAAGTGCAAATAATGAGGAAATCCTTACATTCAACGAAAAAAAGGAAAGGCTTTGGGGTTGTAGAGCTTATTGAAAACAGCCGTTAGAACAATAACTTACATAAACACACGCAAAACTAGACAATTCAACCCTCTTTGGAGAAAGTGTAATTATGTTTCTAAAAGAGAAGTAGGGGAGTTATATGAATTCATAGCAAGAAGATTTAGCAGAAACCAAGGAAGGGGCAAATCTCCCCCTCGAGAAGACATTTAAGCCGGAATTAGGCAAAGGGACGGGGTATAGGGAAGACATCCAAAGAGAATTTGCGAACACCCAGAAACAAGAGTTGGAGGAACCAAAAGTTCAGTCTCACTGGAGAACACAATGGAGGGCGATGAGAGCAGCACAGCAGCAAGCAGCATCCAGCCACAGTGACCGCAGGGAGAAACTGCTGAAGGAAATGCACGGAAATCACTTATCCTAACACAAAAAGCTTAAGCCAGTTTGAACCAGGAACCCTTTACAAATAACACATTTCCTGGTCAATTAACTGCGGAAACAGCAACTTGACACCACTCTATTGCTTTCCTACACCTTGAATTTAATTTTTACCCCTTCATTTTATCATTAGCCAGTTGAAATACTCTTTGTATATCTGGCCTTTACGAAAATTCATAGTGAAGAAATTATTCCCAGGTTTATTCATCTAATGAAGAAAAATATTCAAGGGAAATACATTTGTATTACATATAGCCCAAAATAAATGGAATTTATGTTAAACGTGTTTATGATATAAATTTCACACTTCTACATTTCTACAGTTTTATTATTGAAATGCACCTATTTTTTCCTACTCTTGATGCTGTAAGACTGGAAATCATTAGCTATTTTTCATTTTGATCATATATACCTCAAATGTCAAAAAAAAAACATTTAAAATTAAACTTCTTAAGATGAGAATTTCAGAATCCTAATAAGCAAAGAATAAAAACAGCACCCTATTTAAGTTTCTAGACCTATTTAAATCAGAGTCCTCTGTAAGGGAATGTATTTCATTAAAGGCTTATATTGTTATCATAAATAATGAATCAACTCTTTAAATTATATTTTAATTAACTTCACCAAAGGTGTATATGCAAAATGCTATCTTGTTTCATTAATGAGAATGACATATATAAAGTCCCAGCACAGGTTTCAGGATATTCACTCTTTAATTATCTATCTA